CATTTTAATCCAGTTGAATGGTGGGAGATATATGGTAGGGATGCACCTCACCTAAGTAGGATAACAATCAAGGTGCTCTCGTTGACATATTCTGCTACTGGGTGTGAGCGAAACTGAAGTACGTTCTATTGGTTGCATACTGTTAGGAGGAATCGACTCTCTTCGGAGAGGCTTCATAAGCTAGTCTATGTTTATTACAACTTGAACCTCCGAGAGCGATAGATAAGAAGGAAGCTTGAAGACTACGGGTCGATAGACTTGGGCATAATATTTTTCATAGACACAACAGGATAATGTTTGTAGAGGAAGAGGAGCCAGTGTTACACAAGAGAGCATTCCTCGAGGCTATCGATGAGGAAGATCATGAAGAAGGTGATGAGCAACATGAAAGAAGAAGCAGGCCGCCAATATATCTACAATTTGTCAGTGGTGTCGCACCTAATGAGGGAGAGTGGGAAATGGGTATAAGGGAAAACGAGAGAGATGATGATTTGTGTGATGTAAATTTAATGGTTAACTGTAGTTCATATAGGGAAAGAACATCTCTGTATTCGCATATTGATGCAAAAAAATGAAAGTTCTTAATGGAGTATCCCTATTTTTTATTGGATTCCTAAAAACAACATTTATAATGAATTTTAAAAAAAAATTTGGATTTTTTTTTAAGGCTGAATCCGACCGATTCGGCCGATTCTCAATCCGAATCGCCGATTCACCGATCTTGTTGGGTTTTAAGGTGCCCGATCCGGGGCACCGATCCGTTGTTTAAACCAGTGGTCGAAAGTATGAGCCAGTCTCCAAGGACATTGAGCTTTTTTGGAGGGCCAAGTAATTACGTTTTTTGTGTCTCCTTCCACAGTGAGGTGGGACTCCAATTTGGATCATATTTCTTAAGTCTTCCTAGGAGGTGATGGACTTAACCATTGTTGAGTGCATTAGGCTGATGTAGCTCAAGAAGGTTAAGATTGTGTCTCCTTGGGAGTAGTAAACAAATGGCTAATTCCCACTTTTTTTTATGTGAATAGTTTACACATTAAAATAGTGACACCCTATATGATATGCATTTAGTTTTGAAGTATCACTTCATTCAACTGTGAAAATCATATACAACAGGATCTATGATACATAGTAAACTGTTAAATGGTTGTACAAGCGATCCATAAAATCACTCAAACCATGCCTAATGTGAACATCAAGTGTCTTGAGGTGTTATTCATGAATGAATGTGGGAATGCGGGAGGGAGGGAGGGAGGAACAGCAAGTCTCATTAAGCTGTTTGTTATCCTTTTTCCTTTTCTAATGCTTTTCCCCTGTATTCATTATGCTTTGTAATCAATGGGTTTAGTGACTCATCATTCCTTGGCTCTTTGGCCTTTTCTGATGCTCTTCACCTTACTTCCTTTTTCTTTGGAGTCAATGTGTCTGGGGAGTGATCCTTCCAAGGCTCAATTTGGAACAAGGAAAAACATGGAGAATTTCTGTTTTCTATTCTATGGCAAGTCTCATTATGCTGTTTGTTAACCGTTTGCCTTTTTCTGGTCCTGGGGACTCATCTTTTGCTCAATTTGGAACAAGGGAAAAATGGTTCTATCATATACATTCTTCTGTTGTTCTTTACCACAGAAAACTTCTTTCATGCAATGGGTGTGCAAAATCATTTATTTACACTCTTCAAAGTGATATGTTAGGGTGTGGACTGTGGACTGCACCAATTGAAGGAGTTTATGTGTAACGTTTTTCTGCATGTTTCATTATAATTTCTTGATTGAAATACAATTCTGGCATTTTCATTTGTATTCATAAGCACCAGGCTAGCTCTAAACAAGCCTTTGTGTATATAAGCAATTTTGTACTCCATACTGTACATATGTATAATATACCTATGAATGCACCCCTGTTCGTATATGTAATTGATGATCATAGTGGAGATGCTTACACATCTTCATTTAACTGGTAATAGTGGACTGTGACGGTGCAGATCTTCTCCTTCATCTGTCAATGATGGACGTATGTTGGTTATATCATACACAGAGTAAAGACTTCACTATGCACTGTATGTCTTGGTGCATGCGCAACAGATAAGAGACACATTACTATTCATCTCAGTGAAGTATGTCTCATGACATCAATCTGGAACCTAAGAAGTCAATATGCTAGTTAGTCTTTATCGGATGTGCCTGGCCATGTCCTTGCAATTTCTTGCTAATGAACGTGGGAACCGATGGAACGATAGTTTCATTATCCCATATTCCGTTATACATGGATTATATGTGGGAGAGCACTTATGCACTGTATGACTATGTCTTTGTGTCGTATGGTGAAAAAAACATGGGTGTCCGTTTGTGTCCTTGCTGCCAAAACCCAAAATTACCGAAATGATTGTGCATTTGTTAAGTACAAAAAATGGGTATTGTATAATGTGTTTTTGAAATCATACTCGAAACATAAATTATTGCAATAATATTATTTAGGATTGCTTTTTGCGCTCATGTTTATTCTAGCTGCACCTATGTTTTGCTATTCCCACCCAAAATAGTGGTGTATCAAGAATCCCGCAGCACAAATTTCCATCACATGCACATGGGTGCAGATTGCAAAGGCATGAGAGTTCAAAACTTTGAATGGTGCTTCCCTATTTTCTTTATTCAGTTTTGTATATTTAAACATTATATTTTATGAATTTATTGTATCTAACATGAATCTTTATTCATTTATATTAACTTATTTTGTTTTGGGGGAGATATGTATGTTATCGTATCTTGTGATTTATAATGGGGATTACCAGTGACACGTATTTTGACTATTCCCGCCCAAAACATGGGTGCAGCTCTTCTTCTCCTTCAGTCCTCATTAATGGATGGTGGATGGTGGCACATGTACTGGCATACTACCTGTTTATATTATGTTTTGCCATACATTTAATGTCTGCTTATATTATGCTTTTCCATGCATTTAATGTCTTTGGGTATCTAATTATATACATTCATAAGATATGGCGTGGCTTTCATCTCCTTTAACAAAAACTTTGGATGATTTAACTATGATGATTTTTTCCACATTTACTGAGTCTTGCTGGAACGTGATTCTAGGCAAAGCGTATCGAGAATGGGGTATATCTGGGGCCTATAGGTTCCCTGACTTTTGAGGGGAGGTTGTCATGGACGACGAGGATTTTGGCCTTTGTTTTTGAGTATCTACGCATAAAGATAGGGCCATTTGATCCCTTGCAAATCAGGCTGGGTAAGAACAGTGATAATGAGAGAGAACCAGGAAACAATGATCCCTTCTTCATCTGGTTTTATGTTGATGAAGAGATTGCTGTTGCACAAGGTAGAGGTGGGGGCATTGCATTTTGGTGCCGGTGCCGTCGTGTGATTACATAGTAGCCCCAATACATTGATTTCTTTTTATTTGGACTGTATTATGGATAATGCAAGATATCAGCCTAGTGAAATTAACTGTTCTCTAAGAAATTTACACGAGCAGCGCAAATTCTTTTTAGTGAAGATATTCTGTATACTCATCATTTGCCATGTATTTTGAAATTATTGGTGATGTTTGTCTGCCTCATATTAGAGTGTTATGCTTTTACAAATATTTATCTTGGGTTTTCCTTTTAAACCTGTTCTGACTGTGGGCTCATGGCTTGCCTTAATCACTAGCAATGGAGCTATAGGCTCGAAGTCTTTTAATACATAGAAAGCCTATGGATGGAGAGCTTTAAGAGGTTTTTTGGCATTTGGATGGTGGAGATTTTGCTATCTGGTACTGAAAACCATTGTTTTTGGTACGTATATGGAAATTTGGAAAACACTAGTCGATCGAGCCTGAAATTTTGTAGACCTGGACATCTAGAAATCAATCAATTTTAACCATTCATCTTAGTTTTTATTGATAATTTGTTAAATGAATGTGAATTTGAAATCATAGCTCATTTATGGCAGGGCTAACAAAATGGGCGGTATAAATCACATAAGCTAGTAAAATTCACAAGAAATATGCTATCTTGATCAGACAATTGAGAATATGATTAAGCATTTCAAATTTTTTTTTTTCCCCATATATCAGATGATGGCAGAAGAGTGCGGGAAACATGTCAAAAGATGTTCCAAGTGCTAGTTTTATGTGGATTGGATCAAGAATGGAGACCTCTTTGGCAAATGTGACGACCCCATTTTTGGCCTATGTTAGAGCCTTGACATGTGAAGTAATCCGAAAGACAATCTGCTATCTCCTTTATGCGTTAGATTGAAAGACTCTTATGTTTCACTCCTCCCATAGAAACTAAATTGTCGTAAAGAAAATAGTCGTCCAGATGTTGAGGAACACATCTGATTTAAATTTAAAAGCTAGCCAACTACGGAGTATATCCTGGGCTGAAGATTCGAGCATAAATCTCTTACCACACCGCCAGGCTAAAGACCGCCATACACCCTGCAAAGAGTTGCAATGAAATAAGAGATGACATAAATTGTCCTCATTGTTCATGTAGAAAGCACAGAGAGTAGTCATATGAATACCTCACTGTTGAAATATAGATGTAGTCGGTAACCGTTTGTATATAGCAAGCCAAGAGAACCACTTAGCTCGTGGGTAACATTTGGTAGACCAAAGAGCTCAAAATATAGGTTGTGGTGAACTTTTATAACGAATAAAGTTCCATGCTACTTTGATTGAGAAGGTTCCATTAACAAAATGAATCCATACCAATGAGTTCATCTTAGACTGCAAGGGAAGGACATGATGCTCAGTGCCTTACATTGGGGGTTGCCATCAACAAAATTAGAAACCTTACACGCCCTCCAAGTTCCTCAAACCCCATCTAATCATTTTCATCATAAGAATCTTGAATTTACTGTACTGATAGCCATGGGTCCATCAATAAATCCACGGTCTGACCGTTACTAATGCACCACTTAATATTCTCCCTTAGCTGTGGTAAACCGATGTGAATGCCCTTCCAAACATGAGGACATCCCCTCTTAGCATGTTTTGAACTATCTATGATTGAAAAAACAGGCAACCAAATAAGAAGGATTAGCTAAAATCCTCCAGGCCAACTTCATCATACCGGCAGTATTGAAATATGCTATATCTTGTACCCCCAGTCCACCCTCCTCTTGAGTAAGGCAAACTTCCATCCATTTAATATGATGAACACCCTTATTTTCTGCACCACCTACCCATAAGAAGTTTCACTGATGTTACATGTTTTCTTCAGTAGCCAAATTTCTTTTATTCAATAAGTAAAAAGTTACATAATGCTATAGGAATAAGAAACCATAAGACTCCATATCATAAAGCAGATTGCTAGAAGATCTCTTCAAATGAACTTTGCACACCCCACTTCAGATCTCCTCCTCCAATGGCACATATGATCGATAGTCCTTGAAGCATGAGAAACTATAGTCTATAACCCTTGAATAATTATGAGAGCAATGAAACAATCTAACAATGTGTAAGGCCTCAATGCCTTAGTATGGGTGTGCCTACCTATGGCCTACTATGGCTAGTGCATGCCCGCATATTTTTTTAACCCAATATTTTTTTAAGGAAGCCATGGAGAGAGATCTTAGAGACTGGAGAGAAAGGGTGGCATGCCACCTGGAGAGAGAGAGAGGTCAAGAAAGTGTAGAGATTGGCTCAGGCTATCTCTAAGGGTTTGGGTTTCTTAGGGTTAGCCATATTCATGGAGATTATATCGAGACCATTGATCATAGGAGATTTGTGGGGTGAAAGATCTGAGCCATACATTTTTTAGATCAACCACCATAATTCAAAGGAATGTACTAGAAACTTATCTTTTAGCTTTTTAAACCTAATCCCATCAAAAAATAGAAATATAGAAAATTTGTCATACTTTTTTCTCTCTTGTATAAATATTTTATACATGCTTTCTTGGAATATCCAAACCTTTTTGAATCTCAGAACTTTCCAAAATTATCAAACTTGATTGAGTGCCTCATGAGCTTCTTCATAAATAGGAAAGTCTGCCCACAAAGGCAGGTGTGCCACTCATGGGGCTCCCATGTGGGCCCCACACACTTCCCGTCCTATGGTGGGCCCCCATAAATTAAATGAATTATAAAAGTATAAAAATGATTTCTAGAAAAACACAAGTATTTTATTTTTCTATCGGTGTATATAAAATACTGAAATTTAATTTGAGGATATTTGGGCATCAAAACAACCTCTTCTAGTGAAATTTTTGAGGTCGGCTGTAATTTGATTGTAT